AATTTTGATTTGGAATATCACCACGTATCGAGGAGGAGAGGCCCAAAAAATCCTTAGTTAGTAAATTTATCTCCTGACTAATGGACGTAGATATTATTTACGACCCGGCCCTGCCTCTAGGATCTATTTAACTCGACTTTTTGTCACCAATTGAGGCCCATTATCGGGCACTAAATCACATTTAACCAAGTCACAGCGAAATAACAATCGATTCTCGATACAGTTAGAAAGCACCAGGTGCTCCAGTTCGATTATTCGAATATCGATTTGAATTCGAGACACGTATGAACTTTTTATCAGAAAGAAACGGAAGACGGAAGATGGTCTTGTTAATTTGTAGATTTAGCGTGGATTAAATGCGGAAAAATCAGGAAATTATTTTTCGTTCACGTATCGAGTCATTTTGAATCGTGTGACACAAATAGGACGGAAGGAGGATATTGTACATTTAGGTGGATTAGTTTGTTTACTGAAGGAGAAACCAATATATTGTTTTTTTGATGTCCTAATGAATTTGAATGGTGTGGCATAAATTTCACCACAACTTGTCATTAATGGGCGTCTATTAATCACGTGATCAATTTTTTTAGGATTTTTAGGTAAGAATACCTATTACACTTTTATCATTTCGAACGTAATAAGTTTTCAAGACTTTGCCTTAAAATGTAATGCCGAGAATAGACACATAAATTTTGTTGATTTTGGTGTAGACTAGTAGACGAGTGTGCACTTTCAGTCGCAATTTTAATGTATACCGCGTTGCTGTAGGGTGTGTTGTAATGTAGACAGCATTGTAGATAAATTTAATTTTGTATAAATTAGCCAAATATTTCATTCCAATTGCACGAACCGTTTAAAAGTTACGAGAGTTGTAATAAACAAATGCACCGAAACAACGAAACAGTGGTCGTACTATATATAGTACAGCGGGTCAATACCGGTAAAAAAGTTGTCACGTCAAATGTGGGCATGTGGGTGCTCGTTTGAAAGGTCTCGAAGAACCCTATACGAATATCGAAGTAACGGACACAATAAAGCAATAGGGTTCCATACAAAATAATTCACTAAGAACCAAAATTAGACGAACCGTTTAAATGTTACAAGGGTTGTAATAAACAAATGCGCTAAAACGAGTAATCTTGCCTTAAGGCAAAATACCACTTGCACTAAAATTCAATTTCTTTCAAATTACACACCTACAACTTTTCTTTACTACTATTTCTGAAAAAATCACGATTCAATTATCCCAATTCCCTCCTCGCTCCAATTACTCCAAAAATATTCAAATTTAATTTGTCATCAACTAACTGACGTCTTCTAATTCTTTCTTCATTCGACATCTTTTGTTGAAAATACAATAACCGAAACATTTAACAAAAGACGAATGTTAATAAATAGATCTGGGCCAACTCGATTTTCGGCGAAAATTTATTAAAATTGAAAATTTAAATTCACTCGCGATTCGCTCGGCTTAAGACATTTTGACCCGGATTCGAAATCGAGTTGAAATGAAATCTGACATACTTTGGGGAAAGGATTCATGGAATTGGTGATTTATTGTGAAATACTAGAAAAGGACGATTTGTGACTTCTTCAGGGCGTGTGGCGAGGATGTAATTTGGCCTGCAGATGCGCACGTATTTACCATGTATTTTACCTATGTAATTTTTTACGCGTTGTTGTAATAGTTTTGCGAATGCTTTAAATGGCATTTATAAATTAACAAACTAGTGGTGTATGGCATCGTGCCTTAGAGAAAATTGCTGGAACTTCCCGTACCGTAACGAAATATTCGAGGAATATTAAATGTTTTCAAATAGATTATTATAAATAAATATTGTAACATTGTCGAATATTTGTAAGAATTATATAAAATGAATTGCAAAGTTGCAATTATTTGTTTAAAGTATATAAGTGAGCTTTAGAACTTTAGCTTTAGAATTAAAATTAAAATCTGAATTATTTTCGATATACAAAAAAAATTTTTTTTGAATAAAACAAATTTAAAATAGAAAAATTTTTTTCTCAAAAACAATTGTTTTGCCAACACAAGCAGAATGTTTTTTGAATCATTCAAATCGAATACTCCGTTTTCTCAAAAACTCGTTTTATATTATCTGCACTCTTTGCTCCGGATCTTCGTAACGAATGTACATGCCTTTGTCAAAAACTAATCAGCACATTTCCCTATCAATAGGAATCGAATGCTTTTTGAACCATTCAAATCGGTTGATCCGTGTAGGTACTCGACAACGTGGACGAAAAATTGTATCCGAATACACACACAAACATCAATTTTTTTTAGGTATGCCAAATGTTCAGAAACTTCTCAAACGTGAAGATATACAAAAAAAATTATTTTCGATTTTCGGCCAATTACTATAACTTATCCTACGGGAAATAATTAATTAAATTATTGAATAATATTTTCGAATTATATATAAAAAATGAATTTATCAGTGAGGATGCACTCTGAAAGTCATCTGTTTTAAGATAAACGGCATTTACACCTAGTTTTACATAAGATAAATTTTTAAAGTTATAAATACTGTTTTACTTACATTATGCGTATTTTATAGACAAAATATAAAAGCTTATAAATAAGACGACGACTTTTCTATATGTTTACATGAGAAGTAAATAAATAATACTTAAGGTTGTGCGTTAAACTATAAACTATCCCTTATTTGAAAAAACCCGGCCAAAAAAAATATGTTTTTTTTAATGTAGAAAAACAAACTTTAAGAACATTGTTTTAGCAAAAAAAAAAATAAAAAAAATCTAAATTAATCAAAATTTTTAGTTTAATTTTGGATTTGATCATCATTGCAGAAAGAGTTGAAGTATTGCAATGTACACGTCCATCGACTTTTTTCACATTTTTTGTTTTTCGAATTACTATTTCGTGAAAAACATCTTATCAGTTAAAATATTTATTAATACTTTTACAACAAAAATAATACTAATATAATACTTCTGAAATGTGAAGATATGCAAAAATTTTCATTTTCGGCCCATTACTATAATTTACCCTACAGAAAGTAATGTTTTTATTCTGTATTCTGGAAATATTGATTTATAATTCAATCTATTGAATCCATAATTATCAATTGGTATATTTCATAAACATCTACAAATGTCCATATCATCCATAAATACCACCCTAAATATCCTTTAATATACATAAAGAGAAACATATACTACTTTATTGATCCATAAAAATCCATTATTTCATTCAGAAACATCCATTAATATTTTAAAAAAATCCATAAATATCCCTCTTATATATTCATAAATATCCATTATTATACTCATTGATATAACAATAAATATCCATAAATATCCATGAACATCTAATAATATATCCAGTAACATCCCTTAAAATATCTATAAATATATATAAATATCCAGATAACATCTATTTTCGTATCCATAAACATATCCGTTAATATATGCATCAATATATTCAAAATATCAATAAATCTCCATTGATATATACATTGAAATACATCCATTAACAAATATTATCACAAATATCTATTAATATCCATTGATATATCCATAAATTTGTTGCGATATAATTTTTTTGGTTTTCACAATATAGTTGCTCTACATTTATACTTTTTATTAAATTTACTTTAATTCATCGAATGTTTCTTGAAATTTTTCAAAAAGCAGGTCAAAGAAGAAATATTTAATTCATTTTCTATCTCTCCTTGCAGAAATTTGAAAATTTTGTATCAGTAGTATAATTTACAATTATACACAAAATCCAGAATCCTAAAAGAATCTGAAAAAGTTGAAACGTGATCAATAAAAGTCGAAAGACCAAGAAAGACTTGGATTGGATTATATCATGTTTATGATAGAAAGTGTATAAAACTTCCAGTTCGATTGTATTAACAAAATATAGACAAACTAATGGGGTTTATTGTTTTTATAATACCTCATTGTATATACTCATTCAAATAACACATCCGTATACACTAAAAGTATTAAATATTTTTTGATTCTCTAGAAATTATTTAGAATATACCTTACTTAGCAAAACAAAGTTTGCCGGGTCAGCTAGTATATATATATATATATATATATATATATATATATATATATATATATATATATAATACCAATATCATTAATGAATATTAATATTATCCATTAATCCATTAATGGCCAAAAAATGCAATAAATAAAAACAATACTTTTCTCGTCATAATAAAACATGTATTCATTTACAATTAAATATAAAACTTAAAAAACAATTACAATTAAAAACTTAAAAAACTATCCCCTACAACTCTGCGACATTCACCAAGCACCTCTGCGTAAAGAACTTGTGCCTCTTCCTCTTGTTACTGCCATCGTTGCCACCGAAGAAACTCGATATCTTGGGGACATTCTTTAAAGACTGTCTCTTGGCCTTCTTCTTGGGGTCTTCATTTTCATCATCGGACTCTGCAGACTCCCATTCACACTCGTAGGCTGTCGAGGCCAGGGCATTGTCTGCAGTCGACCAACTGAACCTTACCAGATGGGGGTAACCGAAGACTTTGTCGATTCGATCGTGGATAAAGGACTTTGTTGAAGGATCTAAAAGGTAATAGAAAAATGATATTTGATAGAATGGTATAGAATTAATTTAACCCTTTCGCTATCAGAGTGTTTGACAACTGTTATACGAGTCACGAAGAAGTCCAAGTATTTATCACACGACTATATTTTGAGATTTTTGATAATAATGTATTTCAAAATTAAAAATTATGCTTCTAAGGAACTAAAAGATAAAAAGGACCTAAGGAAGAAATTAAATATCAATCTAGAAAAAGACAGTATGGAATGACCGATTTGTATTGCACAAAATTGTCACATTTTTTATGTATAATGACATGTTATGATGTTAAATGTAAATATTACATACATATCGACCTAAAAAAACTACTAAATAAAAAGTTAATATGAAAAATGTATAAAATAATAACAAAAATAAATAATTGAACAAAAAAATTAAAATGAAATATGAAAATATATATATATATATACATTTGTAATTCAAATGCCCCGCCATTATTTTTGGCGATGTCGGTAATGAAGTTTTCTACTACCATAAACATGTATCCACCATTTTAAATTTTTGTTAATGTAAAAATATTCAAAATAATTAAATAATTCTTAATAATTTAAAATAATTAAATAATTTCTTCCCTCTTTAGATCGCGAATCAAGCAACATTAAATTAAATTTAGTATATTCAAAGGAATCATTTTTATTTTTACCATGTATGATTGAAAAATCATTCGTTTCGTACTCGATCGCGAGTCGTTTTTGTAAAAGGCACGTATAGCCGTTTCGGAGGTATGGAGCGCAAAGGGTGTGAAAATGTTAATGCAGTTTTTGAGAGACCGAATCATCCGATTAGATTAATTCAAAAAACCTTTTGCTTGTGAAAAAAATGCTTTTACAAAAAAAATCGTAATTTTGAAAATTTTCAATAAAAAAATTCAAAATTTTCAAAAAAAATGTTTTTCAATATGTTCAAAAAAATCTAAATTATGAAAAATTTCATAAAATATCAAAATTTGAAAAAAAAAAATGATTTCTTGCAAAAATTTGAGAATATTTCGAAATTTTCAAAAATTTCCAAATTCGTAAAGAAATGTAAAAAAACTATTTTTTTTCCAAAAATTCCAAAAAATTTCAATCAATCTAAGCAAAAAGGAACTCTACTGACGACCAAGTTAAATATCAATATAAAATAGAAGAAAAGGGTTACTGACGACTAAATTAAATATCACTATAGAAGAAGAAAAAAGGGACTCTACTGACGACTAAATTAAATACAAATTTAAAAGAGAAAATGGACTTTACTGATGACCAATTTAGGTATCAATCTAAAAAAGAAGAAAATGGCGAGCAAATTAGATACAAATTTAGAAGAGAAAGGGACTCTACCGACGAGGAAATTAAAAAGCAATTTAAAACAAGGAAAAGGGACTCTACTGATGAAGAAATTAAATCTTTATTTTACCAAGTAAAGTAAAGAGTGAAAACCAATCTCAATTTTAAAGAAAAAAGACTCTACTGACGAGCAAATTAAATGTCAATATAAAAAAGAAGAAAAGGGACTCTACTGACGACTAAATTAAATGCAAACTTCAAAGGAAAAGGGACTCTACTGACGACCAACTTAGGCATCAACGTAAAAAAGACGAAAAAGACTCTACTGGCGAGCTAATTAAATATGAACTTAAAAGAGAAAAGGACTCTACTGACGACCAAATTAAATATCAATTTAAAACAAAAAAAGGACTCTACTGACGAGAAAATTAAATATTACTATAAGAGAAGAAAAAAGTATTCTACTGACAATCAAATTAAATATAAATTTAAAAGAGAAAAGAACTCGACCAAATTAAATATAAATATTTAGGAAAGGAGGAGAAAAAAGAATTCTACTGACGAGCAAATTAAATGCAAATTTGGAAGAGAAAAGGACTCTATTGACGATCAAATTAAATGCGAATTTCAGAGGAAAAAGGACCTACTGGCGAGCAAATTAAAAATTAAATTTAAAGAAGAGAAAGGGACTCTACTGACGACCAAATTGTATATCAATTTAGAAAACAAATCTGCTAAGGGGCGATTTAAAAATCAATTTCAAAAAAAGGGAATCTAATGACATCCAAATCAAAATTCTATTTAAAAGAAAAAGGAACTCTATTAACGATCAAATTAAGTATCTAACTAAAAGTAAAAAGGACTCTACTGACGACCAAATTAAAAATCAATATAAAAGTAAAAAGAACTCTACTTGCCAGTAAATTAAAATTCTATTTTAAAAAAGAAAGGACTCTACTGACAATCGAGTTAACTGATAAAGGACTCTACTGATACACAAATTAAAAATCAATTTAAAACGAAGAAAAAGGGACTCTACTGACATGCAATCAAAACCCAAGTACTTGTTACACAAAATATTTTAAGATTTTCCAAAAATCATCTAAAAAAAACGTAGTAACAAATTATAATTCTGAAAAATTATTTAATTCAGAGCGATAAATCTTGAAGCAAAAAGGTGATGAATGTCGTCTAAAGGCGACACTCGTACACACAGGTCGTCGTCAAGCGAAAGGATTAAATTAAATTAAATAAATTATATATATATATATATATATATATATATATATATATATATAAATATATATGTGCAATTACCTCCCGGGTAACCACTTCCAAAATCCTTTTGTGTCAGTTCCAATCCTTCGCCGAATTTCCAAAACTATAATAATAAATCATATTATTATATTATTACTTACCGAAGAAAATGAAAAAATCCGATTTGCGAATATAATATCTTCTCAAGTCATTCCGACCAAAATTTGGAAAAAGTATATATATATATATACTAGCAAACCCGACGAACTCCGTTTCTCCACCAGATGGTTTCGTGAGAAAGATGAAGAAATTTTTTGTTTGTTTTATATTTGTAAGGGTAAAATTTGATTTTATTATACAACAGTAACGAATTTATTTTGATTACAAAAATAAAGTGTTTTTTAGTTGAACTTCTCTAAGTAAATGAAAGTGAATCCGCAAATTATCCGTTTCATTGAAGTGCTCTTTGGTAAACCACATTTTTTGTTTTTTGGTCTGACGTTAACACAAACAAAGCGGATGGTTTTCCAACTCGTGAACAGGCAACGTATAACTGCCCATATGAAAAACAATGATTTTCTAAATAATCTATTTGAAATTTATTCCGCAAACACTAAGCAATTGGCCTTGCGACTTGTTATTGCGAACGCAAGGCGAACTGGAAATTGCAATCGTTTGAAGTCAAACGGATGACCAGTCGGAATCATTGGTATGTCACCAAATCGCCAGCAATTTTTGATTGAATGGTGAAATTCAGTGCGTGCACATCATTATTATTTGCGGCAAGAATTGCTCGTTGACTTAACCAAGCATAATTCTGTTAATTCTCACTAATGTCATTACTCGAATTTTTAATTACGGTGCGTGAAGTTCCAGCAATTTGCATTAAGGCACGATGCCATGCACAACTAACTTTCTTATCTATTAACCTTGCGGAGCCCGAGACCTTTTCAACGAATGCAAAATTGTCGATATCGGTTCGTGCGTTCTGGAGTTATTTTGTCAGGAAGGAAAATCCGACTTATTTTTATATATATGCAGATATATATATATATATATATATATATATATACTTATTTTCATTGCTTATTATGTTTGGCCCTTGCTTTGAAAGCATATGGGCTCCAAAAAAAATTGGGAAATGAGAAGTTCCCTGTAAGTTTCATGATGATTCACGCTTCTAAGTTCCGCAATAAGTATTCATTTGGACAGTACTGTGCGGCGCGAGGTAAGGAACGAAACGAAACGAATCGAATATTATATTAGAAGATATCCCCTCATGTGTGAAGGCGTAATCAGGTGAGGCATAGATAAACTAGTGGTGTATGGCATCGTGCCTTAAGGCAAATTGCTGGAACTTCCCGTACCGTAATAAAATATTCGAGAAATTTTAAACGTTTTCAAATATATTATTACAAATACTGTAAATTTCATTATTATTGCTATCTTGTTTGTTATATCTGAGCAAATCAAATGTAAATCATAAATCAATTATTACATTAACAATCGTCATTTCATTTCGAATTCAATTTCAAAAAAAAATAGTTGCCTAATTTACAAAAAAGTAAAAAAGTGCTCCCGTATAGTCACAGTCTAAACGCATTTGCAAATAATTCTGTGCGACATTTTCACTTATACTGTGCTTAGCTTGGCGGCATTTTCACATTTTTCAAAATAAAATTGGAAAAGTTCTCCAATACATAAATAGTCAAAGCCAAAATGTTCAGAAACCTTTGAAACGTAAACATTAATAAAAATTTTCCTTTTATAACTTCCCGTAGGGTAGTTATAGTAATGGGCCAAAATTTGAAAATATTTTTTTTTGCATATATTTACGTTTCTGTGGTTTCTGAACATTTTGGCATACATCACAAAATATGGATGAGTGTGTGTGTTTTGTGTGTCCGCATTTTTTCGTCCACGTTTTCGGGCGCACGGATCAACCGATTCGAATGCTTCAAAAAACATTCGATTCCTATTGATAGGGAGATGTGCTGATTAGTTTTTGGCAAAGGCAGGTCCAGCCGTTACGGAGATACGGAGCAAAGAGTGCACAAAATACAAATCGAGTTTTTGAGAGAACAGATCATCCGATTTTAATGATAAAAAAAACATTCCATTTGTAATGATTGGGAGAAGTTGTGTTTAGTTTTTTGCAAGGGTAGGTCCAGTCGTTACGGAGATACCGAGCTAAATTCACAAAAAATGGCAGTTTTTGAGAGAACTAAGCATCCGATTTGAATGAGTTTTTCTGCTTCTGGTGAAAGATTCAGAATTTTTTTAAAAAAAATTTACTTGAACATGATGTGGTTAAGAAACAAATTTATCTTAATATTCTATAATCAAAATCATTAATAGTTTTAGTCTGTACAAAAAATAGTTCATGACAGAAAAAACCTAATGATGGAAGGTATCTAGTTCCGAAACGTCATAATAAAACATCTACAATAAAACAAATTATTATATATATCTTATAAATAAAATTCTTCTCCTAAACGGTTATTCGGATTTTGATAAATCTTTTTGGAGTTTGTCAAAGGAAATTTTTAAGATTTAATGAACAATGAAAGTATAGCAATATTGCAGAAATAAATGGCAAAAATATACAAAAAACCACTTATCATTGTTTGACATTGAAAACATTTGAACTGTCATCTGCTAGAAATGTCGGTTGACTTGAAATTTGAATTTAGCTGAAATTATGAGCCTGGATAATAATATAATATGATATGCAAGAAAAATATAATGTCTACATTATTATTGACAAAAAGCAGCCGAGATGTACCAGAAATTAAAATAATATAAGATACAGTCAACAGTACATGTTTGGCAGATGAAATTATATAATTCACTTTAATAAATAATGCAACAAGTTCAAATTTGAATATACATTATTCTTTTAAACTTATGCATGTCGCATTTTGGTTTACTTTGCTTAATTATTTAACAATACAAAATAATATTCCTACTTATCAAAAAAAAAATGATTTAAAATTTTGTTTAATGTGTCAAAAATTCATTTGTTTGGCATTGGATGTGGAATATTTAGCAAGTTGATCTTAGATTGCATAGTGCACATATGAACTAGATGTTACAAATTAATTTACCTCAAATTTGAACATAAACAATGATGTTTATCAAATAATAAATTAAATTATTTAAGCAATTATGTTATATGGCAAAATCAAGTGTGATATTGTTCTTTTACCGCAGATACTAAAATTATTTTTCCTGAATTTCTTATACTCATTATGCTAAGACCATAAATGAATCACAAAAGCCAGGACATCATATAGAATATTAAAAATTTGGAACTTTTGAATTGTATATATATATATATATATATATATATATATTTATTTATTTATTTATTATCTCTATCCCACTTACCTTTAAAGCCTGATCCCTGCTAACTTTAGCACAAATACTAGCAGCCGAAACAATAGGATAAGTAGAATCAGCCTTCTTAGCAACCACAATCTCCAACTTAGGAAAAATCTTCTTCAACTTGGCCTGATACTTCTCGGGGGGCCCCACCGTATCAACATAAACATCCTGCACATTAACCCCAGCATCAATCGCCTTCTGTATCAATGCAATTGCCGAATCCATACTGACTTCATTTAAAGAATGTTTGCTACGTTTGAGCATCGAATTGCTGATGTAGTTTGGGGAAATGACATCTACGGCCCAGCCCATGGATTCGTGGGCGTAGTCTTCGATGTTGATTTTGTCGAATATTGCATCACGTTTTTCTTCTGTCAGTTGTTTCGAGTCGGCACATCCTAGGGTTTTGAGGACGTCGGATTTTGATAGGGGACAGAAGGCTATGCCATAGACCATAGGACCTAGATAAAGGATACATTGACATATAAATGAATTTTTGCATATGTATAATTATTTTTCTTACCTAAGACTGGTCCTCTTCCAGCTTCGTCGACGCCAAGCATGCACGGTTCATTTTTACAAATTTCAGGAATTTCAGAGAAATAACAATAATTTTTATTATTATCCTTATCACATATATGAGGTCCAAGACTATACATAGACCTGATCACTGTTGGAGCATCATTTTCTTGATTTTCTTCCATTTTGAACTATTTGTTTCAACTACACGAATTGCACATAACCTTGTTGACAGGTGTTTTAAATGAGAGAAGTTTTTCGCGCGCAATTTGACAGCTGAAGAACGTTGTATGAATGTTCTTGTAGATGGCAGCATTCTAGAAAAAAGCGGTAAATTCAAAAATATAAAAGTATAATTCATTTTCAATTTATGTATTTTTTAATAACTTCCCGTAGGGTAAGTTATAGTAATCGCAAAAAATCGAAAATCAAAATTATTATATATCTTTACGTTTCAAACGTTACTTAACATTTTGGCATACATTAAAAAAAATGGATGTGTGCGGATACAAATTTTTGTCGACTATTTCGGAAACACCGATCAACCGATTTGAATAATTAAAAAAACATTCGATTTGTATTAATAAGGAGATGTGCTGATTAGTTTTTAGCAAAGGCAGGTCTAGCCGTTTCGGAGATACGGGGCAAAAAGTGGCAAAAACGGTAACTCAGTTTTTAAGAGAACGGAGAGTCCGATTTTAATGATTCAAAAAACATTTTACTTGTATTGACAAGATGAAAAACTGATTAAATTTTTGGAAAGGCAGGTCTAGCGGTTATGGACTCTCATTAAGAATAAGTTAAAATATGTCATTTAGCGGTTTTAAAATGTTTATTGGACATATGCACATCAAATTATCAGATATTTTATAGGTTTTAATAACGTGTACACATTTTGTGTAAATTTTTTGGGGTTCCGTATCAAGATTTTTAATTACGGTATCAGTTTGCCTTAAGAGACGATGCCATGCACCACACGAGTGCAAAGGGTGTAAAAATGGTAATGAAGTTTTTAAGACAAAGCATCATCCGATTAGATTAATTCAAAAAGAGTTTGCTTGAGTAGACGGTGTGCAAACAATGCTTTTACAGAAAATTTTGTAATTTTGAAAATTTTCAAAGAAAAAAATTCAAAATTTTCATTAAAAAATCAGTCTCAAGAAATTCAAATTTTCAAAATTTTTCATTTTCAAAAAAAAAACTAAACTTTGAAAATTTTCAAAATTATAAAAATTAAAAAAAGCGATTTCTTACAAAAATTTGAAAAATTTTCGAAATTTTCAATAAAATCGAATATTTTCAAATTTTCCAAATACCAAAAAAAATCTGAAAAAACGTTTTTTTCTTAAAAAGAATCAAAAAAATTTCAAACTTCTAAAAAAATTTCTAACCTTGAAAAAAATCAAATTTAAACAAAAAATGAACAAATTTCTTGTAAACATACACTTGGGCTCGTCACCTAATTTAATAAGCACTTATAAATTTACAGTATGTATTTATAATAAATAATCTATTTGAAATTATTTAAAACAATTCTCAATGATTTTCATTCCTCAAATTTTTAATTTTAGTACAAAAAGTACCAGCAATTTGCCTTTAGGCACGATGCCATGCACCCTGTATCATTTCCTGTATCAAACTACTAAAACCCTTTAATTTATCATAAAGAATATTTATTGCAATAAAATTTTCTTTCACATATGCAAGTATAGCAAAGGCCGACAAAGTCTTGAGGCAAAATAATACTTAATACAGAATTAGAATAAAGAACTATATTCGTATAAAAACAATTAAATATCATTCTCGTTCCAACGAATATGTCTTGATAACACATTAATTAAAAACAAAAAAATAATTGCACCTCGTAACATATATGTATATATTAAATCTATGAATTAATCATTAAAAAATGCACAAAAGACGTAAATATATAACTCAAATATAATAGACGCATAAATATGTGTCTATATATATTTTTTTTAAACAATATTTAAACACATTACATCAGCTTAAATCTTGTACATATATTATTAAATATAATTCTATTTTTATATAATTAATAAACTGCATATATCATATCTCTCGTCTCAACCAGAGACACAAAAAAATACAAAATATTTTAAAATATTTTGAAGCTTAAAATATAATCTATCTCGTTTATACAACAAAAGCTTAAAAAAAAACATTAAACAAAATTAAAGTTTTATAACGATATAAAAATTGTATCTGAGTGATGTTGTTTTCGTTTAATTCACATGTCTATAATACTTTATCTCATATGGCTATTTCAATCAACAAAAAAACTATTATGAATTGTGTTAAATATTAAGTCGCTTTATAATAACTATTATTGAATTCTCGGTGTGAATTGTTTAATGCTGTGTTTTTTCATCAGTGGCAGTTTTTTGGCGATGATTATTGTATGAACATTTATATCAAGTTTTTAAATTTATTGTTAAGTTACACCTAAGGATTTAATGACAAAAATCTGTGCGGGATAATGGATATATATATATATATATATATATATAGATATATAAATATATATATTAGGGTGGTTCTTAATATGGACATTTTCGAATTTTATTGCTCCCAAGGGCTCAAATGCTTCCAAATTAATTTCAAAAAATTCTCTAAAAGTTTCAGCTCTTAATATTAACATTTAGATAGTCCGCAATTCAATTAAAACTTTCGTATATTTATTCTAAAGTAAATTCTTGCGCCAACTGTGATAGCATTCGTAAACACAAATATTATAACCTTTAAAAATATTTATAAATCAATTAACCTCTAATTAAATCCATGTGGACTGTTTAACAAAATATTTATTTATTTGGTGATTTTGACGCTCAAATTATCAGTAATAAATTGCCATCAAAATTACAAGTCTGCTATCACAGATGGCGCAAGTCTTTACTTAATGATATATGTTATAAACAAATTTACAAAACTTTTAATTAAATTGCGGACTATCTAAATGTTAATATTAGGAGTTGAAACATTTAGAGAATTTTTATTTATTATTTTAGAAGCATTTGAGCCCCTGGGAGCAAAGAAATTCGAAAATGTCCACATTAAGGACCACCCTAATTTATATATATATATATATATATATATATATATATATATATACATGTTTGGAGTATTTTGCAGCCCAATCGTCGAATTAAAAAAGTTAAAATAGAAAAATTCTTTATTCTATAAAACGTTTCGACACTTAATGTGTGTCATCATTCAGTAATCGAAAAAAACATATTACATAAATAACAATAGTTCATATTAAATATAAATATAAAAAACAGAAAATTATATACATAACAAACCAGAAAAAAACACAAAAAATATATAAAATTTATTTTTAAGAGAGGAAATTGTTTCTCAATACTCTTTTGTTTCTTTCACCCCGCATCCACTCACTCTGCCGCACGTGCCGCGTAACCCTGAATTTATTTGCGTTACTCTTTTTATTAATTATTATTAGTTATGATGTTCTTTCGCACAAGTATTATTTTTGTGTTTTATCTGTTTTGGTATGTATATAAGTTTTTCCTTTTTATATTTTCATATTTAATATCAACTATTGTCAACTATTGTTACTTATGTAATGTTTTTCTAGATTACTAAATGATGACACACATTAGGTGTCGAAACGTTTAATAAGTTTTTTTTTGATTCGAAGATTGGTCTACAAAAGCACCTCAAATATACATACATATATATATATATATATATATATATATATATATATATTTATATCCATTATCGATTTCCAATTGGCAGTAAGTGTACGTCACTCGTACCTAATGCAAAAATCTTATTATTCCACTTTATCAATTAATAATAATAATATAATCGTGACCGTTTCAATAATATATATTTATTTATTTAAAATCTCTCTATTTATCATTATATTTTATCATCATCATCAACTATAGGCGTATTTAGAATTTTCTTTTACAAACTAATTCAATTATAATACATACACATTATATATGAACAAATTTTCATCAATTGGTAAACAATATTTGATAAATAGTTATCAATATTGTTTTAATGGTTCATATAATTTAATTTAATGTAAAACTATTGTACAAATTGGGTAAAAATTGGGAATATAGCTGCACTATTTAAGTATCTTTAATAGATAGAGGTAATATATATATAAATATACAAACATGTATCAGTATATTTATATATGTTTAATAAAGTAAAACCTCTGTCTATATTACAAATGCAAACACTAATGGCGAAGACTTCTCGTTAGTTTGTTCTATGGTACAAAATATGGAAGAATTCTTAATTAAAAAACATTTCCAATTAAAACAAAAACCCTATTAAATAAAAACTCCATAAGAATATAAATATAAATTTCTTGTTTTGTTTTGTTTAGTCATATATACATATATAAAGATATCAATCAATCAACGAGACATATTTTATATATATGTATCGATAATGCATGTGAATTTTTTTAGTTTGTTTGATTTATTATAATATCTACTTTGAAAAATAAAAAATGCAATACTCTAATACCGTCAAAGAAACAAGAATAAGCGTTTTTTTTTCAATTTCTGTCACTCATCAAGCAGAATGGCATTAATATTAATTATTATCAAATAATAGATACACCACAACATATATATATATATATATATATATATATATATATATATATGCATGTGTCTATTCCTATGATTATATTCAGCCCGAGATCAAGAAACCAAACAATTCATCCCCGATAATACTTAAAACAAATATATAAAATATCCAATCAACTCAATACCTCGTTTAAAAAATGAATTCAATCTCTAAAATTTCCTTTACCTCGTGCCAAACATAATCCAAATTAAACGGACAAAAGTTCATCATCCTCTCTAAGTGTGCATCGATTACTTAAAAAAAAACACAAGTGGTAAAATAGTCGATTAGATTAGATTAGAGTAGAGTAGAGAAGTAAGAAATTGATTTGTTGATTTGTTGTTTGTTGTTTGTTTAGTTTTAATAATAATAATAATATTAATAAAGTGTTGTCTTATTATGCCTCGATGGACTTCTTCTTTTCCTTCTTCTTCTTGAGGAACGATGGCGTCCTCAGGCCCTTCTTTTTCTTTTTGTCCTTTTTCGGGGAGTCTTCTGTCGACATTTCCTAATAATAGACAGAAAATAATATTAACATTATATTAATTTTATTATCTCTATAAAATTTTATTATCTACATTCTTTATCT